GGCTGGTTAGGCTCATCATCAGCTCAGGGCCCTTGCCCCCTCTACACGCAGCCATTATTATTATTATTATTATTATTATTATTATTATTATTAGTAGTAGTAGTAGTAGTAGTAGTAGACGTAGTAGTAGTAGAAGTAGTACCAACAGCGTCATCAGCGTCATTTATTGTCTTCCCATTATCACAACCAGTTGTATCCATTATGATTTTATGATAATGATTTTGCCTTCCCAATCATGAACATCATCATCATCATCATCATCATCATCATCATCATCATCATCGTTCCATTTCAATCAATTGCCACTTGACATAATGAGTGACATTAGGTACATTTAGCTTGATCGAAAGGATGTTGATAGGTCAAAACGAATGTCTCTTTTGTGAAATGTTTTATATTATTCTGGCACATAAGACAGATGCGGAGAACTGTTGCGTCTCGTCTCCTGGCAACGAGATTTCCATACTGCCCGCAGGTTATGTGTAGAATTTCAGTGTAATGACTTGTCATGTGCCTCAGTGTATGCCATCATATCGCTCCATATGACACCACCATTTACATACTGGATATGTTTTTGTCAAAAATGAATTTACTCCCCGCATTGCTTGAAAAACACGTCAGTATCGGTTTAAACGACAGGGAAAAAAGTTACCAGAAGTCAGTGCAACCTACAATGATGCATCGTTGCCTTCGTTTGATAATGTGTTTAAAGGTCGATGTTATTTTAGGATATATAAAAATCTTTAAAGCCAATCGGTAAGAGCTGCGAAATGTCTGAGTTTTGAGTGAAGCTAGGGACGAGAATTGACGAGCGCTTTTACCTAATGTATTTTAGTGCAGTGATAAGATCTACTGGTGTTCATTTTGGCCACACGGAGATAAACCAATCAGAGGCACTACATAACTATCTCTAGCCATCCAATCTATGTTCATCATTCTCGCTGTCGGTCTAGACAGGCATAACTACCCCGCCACCTGTCACTCTACCCAATAATCGATCTGTTTATTCGTTTAAGCAGTCTCCCTTTCCTTTCTTCCGCGTATTAACGATGTGTTTATCCATCTAGTTGCAGTAAATGGCCGTTGTCTCCAGAATCTAAGGAACCGCTTTCAGATATGGTGTGATTCCAGATGAACGAATCAATGCGTATTCATTTCCAGTTTACTGCAGTCATCCAACCACCTTCATTCCACCATCTGTCATCATCAGTCCATCCACCATCGGGCTATCAAACCACCCACCATCAGTCCATCCACCATCGGGCTATTAAACCACCCACCATCAATCCATCCACCACCATCGATCCATCCACCATCGGGCCACCAGACCACCCACCATCTGCCCACCCACCCACCATCCATCCATCAACCATCGGGCCACCAGACCACCCACCATCTGCCCACCCACCCACCATCAATCCATCCACCACCATCGATCCATCCACCACCATCGATCCATCCACCATCGGGCCACCAGACCACCCACCATCTGCCCACCCACCCACCATCCATCCATCAACCATCGGGCCACCAGACCACCCACCATCTGCCCACCCACCCACCATCCATCCATCAACCATCGGGCCACCAGACCACCCACCATCTGCCCACCCACCCACCATCCATCCATCAACCATCGGGCCACCAAACCACCCACCATCTGCCCACCCACCCACCATCCATCCATCAACCATCGGGCCACCAAACCACCCACCATCTGCCCACCCACCATCCATCCATCCATCCACCATCGGGCCATCATCCGTCCATCATAAGTCCATCCCATCCATCCATCCGTCATCGCGTCAAACCACCCACCATCCATCATCAGTCCACTCCAGTATCAACCATCAGTCCGCTCAATCATCAACCATCAGTCCATTCCATATATCCATCATCAGTCCATTCCACCCTTCCATCATCAGTCCATCCCATCCACCCATCATTAGTCCAGCATCAGTCCAGCCCGTCTGTCCAGCATCAGTCCATCCCATCCATTCATCATCAGTCCATCATCAGTCCACCCCATTCATCCATTATCAGTCCACTCCAACCTTCCATCATCAATCCAGCATCAGTCCAACATCAGTCCATCATCAGTCCATCACATCCATCATCCGTCCATTATCAGTCCATCACATTCGTCCAGCATCATGTGTGTATCTCTTGTCCCTTATTCGTCCACCATCTGTCCATCATGTATCATCGTATATCCATCACAGCTCATCATCCGCCCATAAAAACCATCATCCATCTATCATCATTCATCACTCCAACCAGCATTTGTTCCTCTTCCTGTGTGCACTCACGCCCTGGCATCACTGTAACACTGCTGAAAGCGGTCTTACACTCAACTCTTGTCCACACACATGTCCACTGTATCAGCCCATCTGTTTAAGGGGGCTGTGGTTGCCCAATCGATTCACCAATTCGCTCTGCAGAGCTGTACTAGAAATCTATGATCACTATGGTTCGAATCCAAGATTCCCAGATTCGGCCTCAGTTTGTCAGCTCCACAACAGTGCTCGTGGGTAATACAGAAGGAGAAGTTCTGAAACATGCATCACATAACGTCCCACATCCAGCTGACACGACAATATAGCACGAACCCACTCACTCACTCAGTCATTCCACAAACCTCAAGCAGCATCCTCATCCACCCTTGCCACCATCCCTCCAAATGTCAATCCCGTTTTACATCAACACATTCGTCATCCATGTATAATATCCACTCTTTATCGTTCATCCTCTCTGTCCACCCCGGTATGTACCCCCCTTTTGCCCCTCCTTGTAACACATTCGTCGTCCATGTATACCATCCACTCTTTATCGCCCATCCTCTCTGTCCACCCCGATATGTACCCCCCTTTTGCCCCTCCTTGTAACACATTCGTCATCCATGTATACCATCCACTCTTTATCGCCCATCCTCTTCAATCTGTTGTTTCATCCACTTTCTTACACAACTCAAATTGCCCATGCCTATCAACCTCCACCCACCCCAACCCCCTAAGTCCCAGTCACTTTGCCTATCAGCACTTCACTCCCACAATATAATCAAAGCAATCCATCCATCTCACCATCTAGTTCCATCAGATAACTGAACTTGGCAGCGCCCTGTATTGCCTGCTGGAGCATCGACTGGGGAAGTCACGCGTGTTGTGCCACGCTGTCACTCGGCGCGCCAGGTGGATCAGAGGGGAGTCACTATCCGTTAGGTGTGAAGAAACACTGGATCAGCTTTGCCATCGTTGGATCACTCTGGATCACTGTCCGTTATAAATGGAACGCGTGTCTGTGTGTGATGCTGCTTGGGGAATGTGCTCAAGGCTTGGGCAGTGACAGCAACTTGTTCCGGGAATCCATGTTCTGTGAAAATAGTTCGTGGAGTTACTGGTGACGTTCTGCTGCATGTGGAGAAATACGAGACTGGTTATGTTCGCTCATATATCTCTCATCGATGACTTGTCTTGTACTTAATAGTAATATACATGTGCAGCACAATGGTCAAATGTGACTGATGTTTCAGAATTCAACCAAAACGTATTTATGAATTAGTTAGAATTCGGTTTTAATCACTTATGAAATCTTTGTCATCGGCATGACTGATATATGTATAGCATGTTTGAAGGTTCATGGTTAACAGAGGAATTATAAATACCGTTTATTCCAAGTGTTCCCAGATATGACAATTGAGTAAATCAAACTTATCTTATTTCTAATCAATATCACTGATTTGACGTCTTCCAAACTTAACGCATTCCGATTAATAATTGAAGTGTTCACGTACGTGTGCGTTGTGTCACGGGGACATTTGTACAAGATATTCCAAGTGCTCAGTCGGCTATCCACTTGGAATTATCCTCAAGTACCAATCAATATATTCCCCTCGACGGTTGACTGTCGGCGCCGTATGTGGCTCAAGGAGTAAATTCCTTGTATGACGAATCAAGGGCAGGCCTTGCATCCCTGGTACCAGATGGTCTGGTGATGTCAGTCTAATGCAGATTGGCTTCGTGCACGGCAGATCGGTTATTAATTCATTACCGCTTCTACTTGGTATAGTCTGATTACTCGATTGTTGAATTCAATTACACAGCAAGTGAATGCATGGCATTTGTAGGATGATTGATTCAACAACTTGTGAACTTTTATGCCATTTTATGACACCTCCTTGAATAATATGGGTGTCTTGAAATTATGAATTTCATATTAATGAAAATGTTGTAATCAAATATTCAGGTTCATATATAATTTATCTGTTACTGAAGTATGGTTTAAACATAATGTTCATGAATAGGATACCCTTGACATTGCGTTTCCTACTACTGACGTGACTATTGAAGTTGAGCCAGCACCACCCGGTCACGCTACGTGTATGTTACGTACTTTATAGCCATATTTCTCGTCATACAAATTTGAAAGTATACACATAACGAACTTCTAAAGTTCCGTATATGACTGTGTCTGTACTCGCCCATTGTCTGGGTGGATACTAAACTATTGCCTCGTCCAGTCGTAGGTCCGCTGCACATTCCAGAGCAATGTCCAATAAGTTCACAGCTGTCAAGCAACCGCTGTCCATGTAAATCGATACACAACGAGAAGTCAGTGAGTGATAACGCTTGCAAGCCGACGCCCTGTGTACATGTGATTCAACATTTACTGTTATTCGTCAACGTCTGATTGGAGCAAACCTTCTTAACCACGTACTGTGCATCCGCCATCATCTAAACAGTGATCGCCGTGCTGTTTGTAATGGAACGGACATACATCAAATTTATAAGACATATTTCAAATATTCAAACTCTTTGGTGTTCCACGAATATGTGTAGTATCAATCTCCCAGGTCGCTAGAGCGTCATCTGACTGCCCCTCTGACTGTGGCTCGTCAGATAAACAAAACAGTGAATTGTGGCTTACATGTGTGTGTATAAGTAAGTCGTGTGTATATATATCGAGCATGTTAACTGTTCTCATACTGTACCACTATCTGGCAGAGATTTGCCAGAAGGTGAAGACTGGTGTCAAACCCTACTTCCGACCGACACTGGAGGATTATGACTGTCCGTGCGACGAGCTGGCTGACGTCATCAGACGGTGCTGGGCAGAGGATCCAATGGAAAGGCCGGATTTCCAAGCCCTGAAGAGCATTATTCGAAAACTTAACAAGTAAGTTCATGGTGTTGTCTCTTGCTGTTTTTTTAACAGGTGGCCTAGTAGTTTAAGGCCCCGAATCACGTTGTGCAGAGTTACTTACCTTGCTCGTACAAGGATCCGCCAATCGTGACTCTGAATTGATCCTAGACTCGTACCGGTTCTGATCCTTGGCCTGTCTTCATCATATCTACACACGTCATAGGGGTGATGGTTTCGTCTCCCACATGAACATAACATAACATGGCCGTCATAATGTACAGAGCGGCCAAAAAAATCTACTTCTACGCCTACTCATCTGTATTGCATTCAACATGTAGTTGTGGCGACGAATAAGTCAGTTGTAAATGCTTATGCTTCATAAGCCTACATCCGGGTTAGAATTCATAATGTATGATTTAAGAAGCGCCATTGTTTTTACAATATTTCTAAAATGGCGTTTTATACCCTAATACCCCCTCACTTCAACATTCAACTTAAAACGGAAATATAGCATCTCGTCAATGCCGAAATGTTATATTAGTGATGTAGTGTTCTGACAAGTCTCTCAAGACTGACTTTAGTACCACACATAGATGAAAGTACCGCGTCATTGTGGGTATTGAAGTAGACACATTCTGGCTACTTTGGCAAGTTCATCTCGGAGAACATCCCCCTTCTTCGAAAAGTTGCGGGGACGACATTGTGACACGGTAATGGGCCTTGCTACCTCACACCGGCTCCCCATCGCAATACTTACCTCGCAGCTAGCTTCTCCACTCTGAGTCATGAAGAAGTGAATAACAAGTATTATTATTCTCACTTTGAGGGCAAACCCAACTCTGGTAATTGGTTTGTGTGTTTGATCAGTTGCTTGTGCCTCTTTGCGATCGCCGCTAGCATTTTGTTAACTTAATTTCATTTTTCTCCCTTGCTTTGAAATTGATACACTCGGTGCCTACAGCGTTAACTTCCCATACTAGTTTAGTATTAAAATACTGAACAAGATACGGTCAAGCTAGGTATTGACACAGATACATTATAGGCTAGGTATTGAAAAAGACACTTTCTAGCAAGGTATTAATATAGACACATTCTCGCTAGGTCTTGAAATAGGCACAGTCAAGGTAGGTAGTGGAATAGGCACGTTGTAGCTAGGTAGTGAATAACATACATTCTTGATATATATGGAAAATGGACACATTCTAGCTAGGTATTGAACTAGGCACATTCTAGCTAGGTATTGAACTAGGCACAATCTAGCTAGGTATTGAACTAGGCACAATCTAGCTAGGTATTGAAATGGGCACATTCTAGCTAGGCATTGAACTAGGCACATTCTAGCAAGGTATTGAACTAGGCACATTCTAGCTAGGTATTTAACAAGGCACATTCTAGCTAGGCATTGAACTAGGCACATTCTAACTAGGTTTTGAACTAGGCACATTCTAGCTAGGTATTGAACTAGGAACATTCTAGCAAGGTATTGAACTAGGCACAATCTAGCTAGGTATTGAACTAGGCACATTCTAGCTAGGTATTGAAATGGGCACATTCTAGCTAGGCATTGAACTAGGCACATTCTAGCAAGGTATTGAACTAGGCACATTCTAGCTAGGTATTGAACTAGGCACATTCTAGCTAGGCATTGAACTAGGCACATTCTAACTAGGTTTTGAACTAGGCACATTCTAGCTAGGTATTGAACTAGGCACATTCTAGCAAGGTATTGAACTAGGCACGTTCTAGCTAGGTATTGAACTAGGCACATTCTAGTTAGGTATTGAACAAGGCACATTCTAGTTAGGTATTGAACAAGGCACATTCTAGCAAGGTATTGAACTAGGCACATTCTAGCTAGGTATTGAACTAGGCACATTCTAGCTAGGTATTGTCACAGGGACATTTATTCGATGAACCCGACGCTTGATGACGTGTCGCATGCATGGCCCAGGAAGGGCTTCACAGCTCGCCACCCCTATCAAACTTTGAGCAGTTGTCATGTCATGGTTACCGCATGTGGAACTGTTCTAGCAATCTTTCCAGATACGGGGTAATACTTTATAGTAATTACGCGCTCAGGAAGTTCGGCATAAATCTGTCCAAATGCAATTGCACTGTTACAAACCATTTTGTCGCCATAAGTACCGGACTGCTGGCATTACCGCGACTTTATATCGACTGTCATTTACCCAGTAATCACTTGGTCCTAATACTGCGTCACATTATTGCTGCTTTATTACGAACATATATCAGTTCATCTGACATTGTCAGCGATATGAATCCGCCCTCATTCTTCTGCATAACCCACAGGAAAGGAGCAGGCAATATAGCTCAATTCTCTATGTTAATATTCAGTGTAAATCACAAGGACTGCGGGGACGGATTTCTTGTTATAGTGGTGAAGTGTGTTAATGAGAGTCGGGTTGCTGATATTGGCTAGTCGACAGCGATGAGGTACAGATATAGGCATGAGGCAACGCACGACGGCATGGGATACAAACAGTCCAAAATGGCCATTGCGAGTTATACTCCTATTAGGAATGAATAAACCTACGTTAGGACATCCCTATCCTGCGTGTTGGCTATGTAATGGCGTTATCGGCGTAACAAGAACTTGAAAAGGAACCATTGTTTGTGTGTAGTCAGTCACCTCGAGTGATGGAATTAATGGCGTTATCGGCGTAACTAGAACTTGAAAAGGATCCATTGTTTGTGTGTAGTCAGTCACCTCGAGTGATGGGATTCATATGGACATTGAGAGACCCTCGATTTAATTTTAGTTAAGACATCGAGCACGTGCAGCTGACAGTTATTTTTTGGGCAAAACGTTAGTAAATGTTTTCCAAGTTTCATCCAATAGTATATGGTATATACCACGCACAAGTTAAAGTACACCCAAAATTGGACGGACGTGCGTTCCAACAATAAATCTATACTCTTAAGAAAAAAAATGGGGTGTTCATTAACTTCTTTTCAATAGTATATATAAAATAGTCAGCTGGCTCACGTCTTTTCACACATTGCCCATTCTTCACTATTCCTCCTTCTAAACATCTTTCAATGTCTCCCTCCCTCCCTCCCCCAATGTCTCCCTCCCTCCTCCAATGTCCCCCTCCCTCCCCCAATGTCCCCCTCCCTCCCCCATTGTCTCCCTCCCTCCTCCAATGTGTCCCTCCCTCCTCCAATGTCTCCCTCCCTCCTCCAATGTCCCCCTTCCCTCCCCCAATGTCCCCCTCCCTCCCCCATTGTCTCCCTCCCCCAATGTCTCCCTCCCTCCCCCATTGTCTCCCTCCCCCAATGTCTCCCTCCCTCCCCCATTGTCTCCCTCCCCCAATGTCTCCCTCCCCCAATGTCTCCCTCCCCTAATGTCTCCCTCCCCCAATGTCTCCCTCCCCCAATGTCTCCCTCCCTCCCCCAATGTCTCCCTCCCTCCCCCAATGTCTCCCTCCCACCCCAATGTCTCCCTCCCTCCCCCAATGTCTCCCTCCCCCAAATCTCCCTCCCTCCCCAATGTCTCCCTCCCTCCCCAATGTCTCCCTCCCTCCCCTAATGTCTCCCTCTCTCCCCCAATGTCTCCCTCCCTCCCCAATGTCTCCCTCCCTCCCCAATGTCTCCCTCTCTCCCCCAATGTCTCCCTCCCTCCCCAATGTCTCCCTCTCTCCCCCAATGTATTCCTCTCTCCCCCAATGTCTCCCTCCCTCCCCAATTTCTCCCTCCCTCCCCTAATGTCTCCCTCCCCAAATGTCTCCCTCCCTCCCCCAATGTCTCCCTCCCTCCTCTAATGTCTCCCTCCCTCCCCCAATGTCTCCCTCCCTCCCCAATGTCTCCCTCCCTCCCCAATTTCTCCCTCCCTCCCCAATGTCTCCCTCCCCCAATGTCTCCCTCCCTCCTCTAATGTCTCCCCCCCTCCCCAATGTCTCCCTCCCTCCCCAATGTCTCCCTCCCTCCCCCAATGTCTCCCTCCCACCCCAATGTCTCCCTCCCTCCCCCAATGTCTCCCTCCCCCAAATCTCCCTCCCTCCCCAATGTCTCCCTCCCTCCCCAATGTCTCCCTCCCTCCCCTAATGTCTCCCTCTCTCCCCCAATGTCTCCCTCCCTCCCCAATGTCTCCCTCCCTCCCCAATGTCTCCCTCTCTCCCCCAATGTCTCCCTCCCTCCCCAATGTCTCCCTCTCTCCCCCAATGTATTCCTCTCTCCCCCAATGTCTCCCTCCCTCCCCAATTTCTCCCTCCCTCCCCTAATGTCTCCCTCCCCAAATGTCTCCCTCCCTCCCCCAATGTCTCCCTCCCTCCTCTAATGTCTCCCTCCCTCCCCCAATGTCTCCCTCCCTCCCCAATGTCTCCCTCCCTCCCCAATTTCTCCCTCCCTCCCCAATGTCTCCCTCCCCCAATGTCTCCCTCCCTCCTCTAATGTCTCCCCCCCTCCCCAATGTCTCCCTCCCTCCCCAATGTCTCCCTCCCTCCCCCAATGTCTCCCTCCCTCCCCCAATGTCTCCCTCCCTCCCCCAATGTCTCCCTCCCTCCCCAATTTCTCCCTCCCTCCCCTAATGTCTCCCTCCCCCAATGTCTCCCTCCCTCCTCTAATGTCTCCCTCCCTCCCCAATGTCTCCCTCCCTCCCCAATGTCTCCCTCCCTCCCCCAATGTCTCCCTCCCTCCCCAAATCCATACCTCTCTCCCCCAATGTCTCCCTCCCTCCCCCAATGTCTCCCTCCCTCCCGAATTTCTCCCCCCCCTCCCCTAATATCTCCCTCCCCCAAATCTCCCTCCCTCCCCCAATGTCTCCCTCCCTCCCCCAATGTCTCCCTCGCTCCCAAATGTCTCAATCCCTCCCCTAGTATCTCCCTCCCCCAATGTCTCCCTCCTCCCTCCCCCCCCCCCCTCCAAATGTCTCCCTTCCTCCCCTAATGTCTCCCTCTCTCCCCTAATGTCTCCTTCCCTCCCCTAATGTCTCCTTCCCTCCCCTAATGTCTCCCTCCCTCCCCCAATGTCTCCCTCCTTCCCCCATTGTCTCCCTCCCTCCCCCAATGCCTCCC